TATGGTACACCCACTACCATCGTCATTCAGGGCCTATTACTGTATGGTACACCCACTACCAACGAACAGAGCCTGACTCATATGTAGGCTTTCCACGGCTGTAAATCTTGACAAGAGCAGAAAACCTCCTCTTTCTACCACAGAGATGCTGGTGGATTCGAACTGTTTACCTTGTGGTTAACAGTCCAACATGTAGCCCACTATGCCATCAGGGCTGCTTTATGGTACTCTATGAGTTGGTACCAACTCCATAGCACATAACAACAACAGCAACAATTGTATAATAAGGTGTGTAGATGCAGAATAAGCAAACTGCAGTCAGTCTGAACCATAAGGTTGGTAGTTCAAACTCACCAGCTGCTCCTCGGAAACCCTATACAGGGTCACTATGAGTCGGAACTGACTCGACGACACTTAACAACAACAACACTATACAGTATAGTAGTATACAAAGGCTTGGATTGGGCAAAGGAGAATGCACAGGCAAATCAAAAGATGGTAATATCATCTCATATTAAAGCTTTTTAAAAGGTTCAAAGTATTAAAAAAAAAAAAAGGTTCAAAGTATTTTTGCATCTAGTACGTGAGCAAAGCAAGTTGGAGATAATTGGTCTCCCTTTTCTGAAGGAAACAAGTACAGAGAGTGAGTACCTGACTTGCCTGAGAGAGCAAACCCAAGACTAGATCCCAGACTCTGACTTTAGTCCACATCCCAAACCAGGCTCAGAAACCTTCATTGCCTTCCGGTACTTCTATAGGTATGCAAGCTCATACCTATAAAGGTGGCGAGAGGTGCAAAGGAATGACGGGAACTTCATATTCTTTATAGGCCCTCATTTCCTTAGACTCCCCTTTCACAATAGGAAAAGCAGGACACAGTGCTACCTGGAAAGTTAGGTAACAGTAGATGCCTTACTGGTTTGAATCCTGTTAATGTGCCCACATAACCAGCAAAGCTTGAAGCCTTGTAGACAGTTTTGTTGTTTCTCTGGAAGTCCAAATTCACGGTTAAAGGTTTAAGTTCCTCAGTTACAACCCAGGAATTATTATTTACATTCCATCTACAAAACACAAATTTCAGTGACATTTAGGAATAATCTGATTAACATTAATGAGAATAATGATGAATATGATGATGAGAGTCAGAAATTATATTGACTGCTTTGTCTACCTAATCACTAGTGATCAATCCTAACAAGAACTATATAATACGGTAGTTTTAGCTCGTTTTTCAGACACCAAAACTGAAGTTTGAAGAAACTAAGTTACTGTCGTAATATCACATAGTATATAGTGACTCCTCAATTCAATTTAAGTCTCTAATCACAATGCCAAACTCTGGGACTCTGAATTTTTCCAGAAAGGCAGAGATTACATAAAATGCAATGCTAATTATTCCTTCTAAGCAATAAACAACACACATATATATAGGACCTTGAAGTATGCTCAAGATTTCTGTTCACTAAGTATAATTTCTCAGTTATAAACAATGAGATAACTGAGTAACAGTATGCATGTTGTTGGTGCTGTTAAGTCAAGTCGGTTCCAACTCAGAGTGACTCTATATAGGGTTTCCAAGGAGTGGCTGATGGGTTTGAACCGCCAACCTTGTGGTTAGCAGTCCAAGGCTTATCCTACAGCACCATACCAGGGCTCTAAGAATGTGCCTATCTTGCCTTAAAGCTAAGGAATCCAGTATCTTGACTTATGGTCACATATGAATTGAGACATGACTCAGGACTTACTTTTTATCAATAAAACATAATCTACTCTACTATTCACCCAAGAAATACACAGTTCTTTACTCACCCAAGAAATACTCCAAAATCCATGTTTCTGGTATGTAGTAGATGGCCTAGAACAGAAAAGAATATAGTTGTGATTAAGATAGTACTATTATTGATTCTAAATCAAAGCTGGATGGTTAAGCTTGGTTAATTTCTAGTCACAACTGTTCAATATAACAGTAAAGATTCCACAGCATCCTGGTATCACAAAGCTTGTTAAAATCATTAGCACCCTCCAGTCTCTAAATAAAACAATGTCACATCTGCCAGATCCCTCCCACAAAACATGGGGCAGCAGAGTTCCAAGTAAAATCAGAATACAGGGAAAGGATCAATGGTCATCCTATGGAATGCTATGATGTGATTCCACCAAAACATAGTTTAACACCAACTAATATAACCAGTGTGGTGCTGCGGGATAAGGCACTGGACCGCAAGGTAGGTTTGAACCACAAGGTTGGTGGTTCAAAGTTACCAGTCGCTCCTTGGAAGCCCTATACAGAGTCGCTATAAGTCGGAACTGACTTGACAACAGTTAACAACAACAACAATGTAACTTACCAATGTCTCATCTACAGCTGAACACTCTAAGGGTTAGATATGGGCAGACTTTTACCTAGAGTATAGGCCAAGAAACAGGGATCAAAGTAATTCATCCTGTGCCTGGTACTCTGTGATCCTGCCAGGGAAAATACCGAAAAGTGAAGCTGGTAGATTCAAGGCCAAATACCCTATGGCAGGGAAATGATGACACATAATGGTTGTTCTGGGCATTCAGGAAAGACTGGAACCATTATGTGTCTGAAAGTGATAAAGTCGCTCCAGTGACTACTACTATCAAAGCATGTACAGAGCATAAACAGACTCAGGAACAGTAAGAATGTTTATATTCTCCAAAGGCTACACCAAAGTTATCTGTATGCCTGAATTAAACTCTAAATTACAGTAATCTTAAATTAAGGATAGTTTTCAATCCACTTATCAAAATTTAACAAACTATGCGAAACTACATGCCACATATATACAGAATTTACAGAGCAAGCCTGGTTATTAAAACAAGTGCTGATTACATATATTTAGGAGACTTATTTGCTACTTTGTGCTACCCACACTCAGCACACACACATTTACCTTGTTTGTCTTCTGTTACTATTGAAGTACAAATGGTAAAAAATTCATAGAAAATATTGAATGAAATAATTTCACCTATAAGAAAAGAATGGAAAATTTCTTGTTAATAAACAGAGCCAATACAATATAAAATACATTTTTTTTTTTAACAAAAGGCTGGACTGTAGACAGTTAATGTGCTCAGCTGCTAACAGAAAGGTTGGGAGTTAATACCTAGAAGCATACCAAAAGAAGGTTTGGTGATCTACTTCTGAAGAACCAGTCACTGAAAATCCTATGAAGCAATTCTGCTCTGACACACATGGCGTCAACGTGAATCAAAATCAAGCCAACAGTATCTGGTGTTATCTCTGTGTGAGTGTGTGCTTCGAGGAATATAAGTGTCCAAAGAGCAGTCTGAGAGGGCCTGAGCAGATGGCCGGGCATTGGTCCTCTTCATACACAAGAGAAAACAAGTCATCAATTTGGAAGTTCTGTAACTGGGACCAGAGTGGAAATCAAGCAGATTTCAAGATAGAACTAACTGTTTAAAACTTAGGAAGAAATTAATATACACATTATTTAGGTGAAGGAAAGGCAATATAAATAAGAGGGAGGTTGGCAAAAAATGGAGACAGGAAGACTGGGAAAAGAGCAAGCATTAAAGGAGGCAGAGGTAAATACTGTTATATAACATTCCTACAATAATGGTCCCCTACAAGAAGATGCATGAATAGATATGCAAGGTGAACAAGTATGGGATGGAGAACTGGAATATACTCACAAATATATACATATATACAGCTGTGACCAAAGCTATTTATACATCGGTATTTACCTTGTGGCAAATATGTACATGACTGTGGTACAGTATTTGTTGTTGTTGTTAAGTGCTGTTGAGTAGATTCTGACCCATAGCGACCCTGTTAGGGTTTCCAAAGAGCAGCTGGTATGCTTGAACCACCAACCTTGCAGTTCAAACGACTTTGCAGTCTGACACATTAGCCCACAGTGCCAGGGGGCAAAATTATGAAAACATAACCAAACACCTTTTTTTTATATTTAGGATATGAAAGAGCTGATATTTTGAATGGCATTGTAATCTATCGTTTAATTTGGGGAAAGTTGACATCTTAGTAAGAATGAGTTTTCAAATCAGTTGTTGTTGTTGTTGTTAAGTGCCATCGAATTACTTCTGATTCATAGCAACCCTGTATAGGGTTTCCAAGGACTGGCTAGTGGGTTTGAACTACCAATCTTGTGGTTAGTAGTCTAGGGCTGATTTCCAATCTAGGCCTAAATTAATGGAGGAATAAATCATACTGTCAAAACTGACAAGCTGTTAATAATATTTGGGAAACAAAAAGGGCCTAAAGTCATCTGATTTAAAATAAAGGCACCCCAGCATTTTACTGAGATAGGGTAGTCTTTTCAATAAATGGGGTTTGATCAATTACCTATTTCACTTGGAAAAACAAAACAAAACTGAAGCCTGATCTTTAACTCATACCATACACAAAAATTAATTCATAGATCATGCAGCTAAATGTAAAAAATAGATATTAAAAATAAAAATAGAAGAAGTACATAAAGGATATTTTAGTAAACTTGGGGTGGTAAACACTTTTTAGATAAACAAACACAAAAAGCATTAACCACAAAAGATTGAGAAATTGACTTCATTAAAATTTACTATCTCTGTTCATCAAAAGATACCAGTAAAAGAATATAAACATAAACCATTACACTGAAAGAAGGTATTTTCACAATACATGCATCTAACAAAGGATTTGTATCCATTATATATAAAGAAGTCTTTCAAACCAATAAACAAAAAATGGGCAAAACATAATATGGGCAAAAATGGGCAAAAAAACCCTCAGCCATAACACCTTCCTTGAAGGAAGGAGAGAAGGAAGGGTGGGAGGAGGAAAAGAGAGAGGCTGGAGAGAGAAAGGAGGAATCAAGAAGGTGTTCAGTCACAGTGTTGTTGTTGTGAAGTGCTGTCGAGTCGGTTCTGACCCACAGCAACCCTGTATAGGGTTCTCAAGGAGCAGCTGGTGAGCTTGAACTGCCAACCTTGCAGTTCAAACGGCTTTGCAGTCTGGCACATTAACCCACAGCGCCACACCAGGACTCCAGTCACATTAGTCACAGGGAAACACAAATTACAACTATCATGGGCACCCAATTCACAATAAAACTTTGATAAATAAAGTCATAACGGGACACTCTGATACACCCAACAAAAGTGCTAAAATAGAAGACTGATAATATCAAATGAGAAGTACTGATAGTTTAATGCGTAAAATTATTACTAAAATAAAATCCCCAGTTTCAAGTACTGAGGATGCAAGATTCTAACAAGCAATATTCCAAAAGAAGTCAGCCTTGAAGAAGAACTGGACTTGTTTGGAGCTGGTGTCTCCTCCCCTGCACTAAAACTAAAACTTACAGCTGCAGTGGAAACTTTTGTTTCTACTTGGAGCATATTAAACAAGTTTTCTTTGTTCCTTTCATAAATCAGAGTACCCTAATTGAAAATATAGATGTTCTAATAGACATTTTTGTCTAACTATAAAAACATAGCCAGCACTAACTTAGTTAAATTAAAAGTTAAGCGTCATTGGGTCAGTTCCGACTCATAGACCCTGTATAGGATTTCCGTGGCTGCGTGTCTTTGCAGGAGCAGATAGCATCATGTTTCTCCTATGGAGCAGCTGGTGGGTGTGAACCACCAACCCTGTGGTTCCCAGTCAAGTGCTTATCCTACAAAGCCACCTTTTAAAGTATGCTTTCCACCTCCATTCCTGTTACTGTTTCTTAAATGTATATTTTAACTAATTTCGGTTGGAATGCTTGCAGCAATTGCCTGGTTTTGCCTGGAGCCTGATCTCCGTTAGTGAAAACTCAGAAAAGAAAGGAGTGACCATCTGGACAAGCAGACACCAAGAGAGCCAATCATGTTCTCCTTTAAGATGTTTATTGGGATCTTGTGTCTCCCTTATGGTTTTCTGTATATGTCATAATTATAGCCCCCCTGCATTTAGTACATGACTTGTTGCTGTTATGTGCCGTGGAGTCGGTTCCGACTCTCAGCCACCCTGTACAGGGTTTCCGAGGCTGTAAATCTTTACGGGAACAGAAAGCCTCTAGCATTGTTAATACGAAGCATAAGCATAAAAAATTGCCTGTAAACGAGAGTTAAGGGAGCAACCTTTGAACATCCTGCACTGCTGTCATGTTAGCCTGAATTCCTAATAAAGGCTTTCTCTTTCTCAGTTTCACTTGGAGTGATCAATGACTGGACCAGTAAGTCCAGGTCATTGGACCTGCGATTTTTGGGTAACAGTATCAAGTGGTGGAAACGGAAATTCATACTATACTGGTATAATCACTTTGGAAAACTGTTTGGCAGGATCTACAGTGCTAAACATATATCTAATCTATAACTTAGTAGTAGTTCCATTCCTACGTATATATCTGAGAAAAATAAGTGAACATGCCTGTTAAAAAATTTGTCCAAGAATGTTCATGGCTACTTTATTCATAATATTCAAATCTGGTGACAAGCCAAATATCCACTCTGAGGTGAACAAGTGGGAAACACAGTGGCTCTTCAGGATAAGCACTGGACTGCAAAACACAAAAGGTCAGCAGTTGTAGCCCACCAACTGCAGGAGGAACATGAGGCTTTCTGTTCCTGCCAAGTTTTACATAGTTTGCGGGAAAATTAACTATGCAAAACTACATGCCACATATACAGAATTAACATAACAAGCCAGGTCATTAAAGCAAGTGCCAATTACATTAATTTAGGAGACTTTTCTTTTACTTGTACCTTACAGTCTCAGAAACCTTAGAGTCTCTGAAAGTCGGACCAACTCGATGGCACTGAACAATAACAGGTGAATAAGTTGTAGTTTATCCATACCATAGCATACTATCATGATAAACACAAAAAATCAGACAAGAGTTCACATTATGTGATTCTATTCATAAGATGGTCAAAAAGAGACAACGAATTTAGTGTGAAGTCAGAATACTGGTTACCTGGGTCTAGAGAGAGATAATATATATAAAGGGACATGGTGCCAGAATTTTCTCTATCTGGATATGATTTGTGGTTACATCGTTTACTTGTGAAACTCCATCTAGCTACCTACTTAAGATATTAACTATACATATATCATACTTTTGGAGTCCTGGTGTGGCACTGTGGGTTAATGAGCTGGACTGCAAAGCCAGTTTGAACCTCAAGGTTGGCGGTTCAATTGACCATAAACCAGCTGTTCCTCAGAAACCCTATACAGGGTAGCTACGGGTCAGAACCGACTCGATGGCACTTAACAACAACAACATATCATACTTCAACAAAATTTTTTTTAGCTGTTTTATTAAATGTTTCAAAGGCTGCAAAAGGGGTTTTACCTAAAGGTATTTCAGTGACATCCGCAATCCCTTTTAATTCCTCGTCATAAGGGCTAGGAAGGTTGCCAAGTAGTGCAGGCTGAAAAACAAATGAACCATCAGTCAACCAAAAGATATGATTTTAGATCTGGTTGTTATATACATATGATTTATTCCACATATGAGTCGAGCTTCAAAAGTTCACACAAAATGGAATAAAACTTAACAAATTTTGCCACAACCTTTTTGAAGACCCTTTGTGTTGCTACACAACTAGGTTGCTACCATATTAAAATGCAATTTTAAGCATTTCTACATAATATATTTCTGTAAGATTCTATATAATACTATTGGGTTCTAGATTCTTTAATTCACACACTTGTTTCCTTAAGTTCATCTTTTCTCAGGTATTACACTGAAACCTAGGATTGTCACACGGCTTCTTCTTGCCCTTATATTTCACCAGAAAGAGAAAGAACTGACTAATCTCACCTGGATGACCCAACGCAAGGACATAGAACAGCAATACTCATTATCCTTATCTCTCTGCTTCAACACACCCTCTAAGCACTGGCATTGAATCCTCATTACTATTTCCTTCCCACTCAATCTATTATGGAGTACTGGTGTGATAAGCACTGGACTACTAACCATAGATTATCAGTTCAAACCCACCAGCAGCTTCTTGGAAACTCTATACAGAATCGCTATGAGTCAAAACCAAGACACTTAACAACAACCACCAATACTATTCCACTAATTCGCGAAAATCTTTTGTCAGGGTCAACAGCTGATAAGCATTAACTGGATTATCGTGGCAAACAGTGGACACATTAACAAATTTAGTGATGGACATTAAATTTTTATTTTCAACTATTCACTAACAATGAAGTTTCAGTTTAAGTTCACTGTCTCTTGATGAGATAATATAATTAAAATTCCAAAGTCCACGTTCACTAACGTGGTATTTATATATACCTTGACCTATGTCAGCATATTTCCCCCCACTACAGTTTTCCCCTTAGCACTGTTCAAGTGAAATATCCAAGCCAATAAAAGAAATACAAATAACTTAATGAACAGTCACTGAACATATCCTTTAACCCTCACAAATGCTATACGAAATATGTATTATTAGTAAACACTATTCTCCCCAGTATGGTGCAGTAGGATAAGCACTGGGCTGCTAACCACAAGGTTGGCAGTTCAAACCCACCAGCCACTCCTTGGAAATTCTATATAGAGTCACTATGAGTCACAACCAACTCAAAGGCACTTAGCAACAACAACAATTCTTACTGATGAGAAAACTGAGATTTTAAGATGTTAAGAAACTTCTCCAAGGATATACAAAAAATATGTCACTAATTCAGCCCCCAAACCTCAACTTTGTCTGATGTCAAAGCTCAGACACCTAAACTGCTCTCCAGACTGCCATGCAGAGAAGAGGGAAATGAGGGCATAAAGGCATGTTGAAGCCTCATCCTCTCTGTCCCTGTCAACATTTCCAAACTAGAGCGGTCTGGTTAGTATGAACGTAAGACAGCTTTAGTCTAGGGATCTGGGAGCAAAAACATAAGGGTTTCCATGCTTAGAGGGAGGATGTGCCCACAGCAACACCAGGTAGCCCAAGACTACAGGACCCTCTAGAGTCACAACTCTTGGCTAGGGGTGATTTTGGTCTCCAGGGGTGATTTGGCAATGTCCAGAGGCAATTTTGTTTGTCACAACAGAGGGAATGCTATTGGCATCTGGTGGGGAGAGACCAGGGATACTACTTAACATTTCACAATGCATAGGACAGCCTCCTACAACTAAGACTTATCTGGCTCAAAATATTAACAGTGACTGAGATTTAGAAATCTGAAGTCTTGGTGCACTTCTTTAGTCTTCTGCACTCTGCAGAACAATAGGGCCCCAGAACCAAGACCAAAATATGGTCCCTAGTGGGGCTTTAAGGAGCAGATCTTGCATGATCCACTGATTCCACATAAATAAATGTGGTGGTGGCTGGTGGTTACGTGCCGTGGAGTCAGTTCTGACTCATAGCGACCTTGTATAGGGTTTTTGAGGCTGTACATCTATCTGTATGGGAACAGAAAGCCTTATCTTTCTCCTGTGGAATGGCTGGTAGTTTTGAACTGCTGACCTTGAGGTTAGCAGCCTGACTGGTAACCACTTTACTACCAGACCTCCTTTTACATAAATAAATAAGGGACTGAGAAATGGAGTCTTGATGAGGAGGACATGAAACAGCTTGGCTTGGTGAGTGTACAACCATAAGCAACATTCAACTTGAGTGAGTATCAAAGGTTACAGCTACTGAGAAACTCTATAGAGTACAGGGCTTGGGTAAGGGGGCTTCAAAAAGTTTGTGGAAAAGTTCCATGATCTTTTAATTCCATTTTCCTAGGAATTTTTTAATGTCTCCTCGTATGTCATTTGGTTATATTTAGGAAAAGGATAAAATACTCTGGGTGTCCTCATTCTTGTTGTTGTTAAGTGCTGTCAAGTCAGTTCCAACCCATAGCGACCCTGTATAGGGTTCCCAAGGAGCTTCTGGTGAGCTTGAAGCACTGACCTTGTAGTTCAAATGACTTTGCAGTCTGGCACATTAACCCACAGCACCAAAATCTTGACAGCTGAATGCTGTTTAATGTTTTTTGATTAATGTAACTTTTCTAAAAGTATGGACTATTTTACAGAGAAATAGTCGAGTATACATATTTTGTCCAGTAATATGGTCCATATATATGCTTAGGTTTGTAAGTTCACTATTAAAAACTTAAGGTTTTCCTTAAATACTTTTTTTATTTAAAGAACTAGAACTGGGTGTCCTGGTGGTTAGTGGTTATGTGCTGTGGAGTCGGTTCCGGCTCATAGAGACCCTGCACAGGGTTTCCGAGGCTGTAAATCTTTACAGGCGCAGAAAGCCTCATCTTTCTCAGCGGAACAGCTGGTAGTTTCGAACTGCTGTCCTTGAGGTTCGCAGCCCGATTTGTAACCACTATGCTGTTCTGGAATACTCAAAAAAAGTGTTTAAGGAAAAATGTAAGTTATTAATATTGAACTTGCAAACCTAAGCATATATATAGGCCATATCACCAGACAAAATATGTATACTTGCCTATTTCTCTGTAAAATATTCCATACGTTTAGAAAAGTTATATTAATCAGAAAACATTAAACAGCACTCAACTGTGGGAGATTTGCCATGTTACTTTGTGCCCAGTTATTCTAACATTAACCAAGCACCAGAATTTAAAACCCCTCTGACATTTTGATAGTGATCAAAAATAAATACAAATTTGTACAGGCTCCTGAGAAGAAGTTGTGAAATGATGCCTCTAAATTAATAAAAGAGCTCTTTCTAAGTTCTATATGTGTGTGTATACATGTTTCAATTTTATTATAGGAATATTCTTACCAACTTTTGATCCACTATCTGCATAACTCTTCCACTTGGCACAAATGCATTTACTACATCTTTCAGGGAATTCACTAAAATCCTTAGCTGAAAAATAAATAAGACAATTATTAAAAGAGATAGAAAGAAGTGTTGACATTTAAGACAGAATTAGTATAATTACCACAGGTACAGACCTTTTGATTTACCCATATATTGCTAAATGAAACAGAAATGGAAAATAGTTTCAATTCCTGTGTAAACAAATGCAATCCAGTTTTAGTGTTAAAATAATCGTTTATTCTTAATTATTTAGATCAGGGGTGAGGAGAGTATTGCCCACAGGCTGAAATCCTTTGGTCTGACCCTGCCAAGGTAACCGCAGTACCAGCCATCACAGTAGGGGTGAATTATTTGACCAAATATAGGCTAATTTTTAAATTGATAGTTTTGTATGGCCCAGGAATGATATTATAAATATACAAATGGCCCTTGGTAGAAAAAGTTTCCCCACCCCTGATTTAGATGAAGGAAGATGATACAGAGGTAAAGAAAAAGAAGCAAAAACTAATAAAAGAGCAAGAAGATATAGAGGAAGACAACTTCTCCTCGAATATCATTTACTGTAAATGGCAGAAAAGTATTGAAGGCACATTCATAAAATACCTGGTTGGTCAGTCTCAGGGGACACTACATTCATTTGGCAAAACATAGTCCACAAAGACAATGGTCTATATCCTACTTTGGTGAGTAGCAACTGGGATCTTAGCTCATGAGTGGCCATTTAAGGTGCGACTATTGGTCTCTCCCTGTCTGAAGAAAAGACGAGTGATGAAAATTAAAGACACCTGGAAACATTAATTCAATGGCCCAACTGAACTCGTAAACATCAGTCTCCATGACCCTCACAAGAACTAGATGGTATGTGGCTACCACTACCAACAACTCTGAAAGGGAACATATTAGAAAGTTCTGGATAGAGTGGGAGAAAACATGAGGAAAAACCTCAAAATTATAAAAAAAAGCCAGACATACTGATTGGAGAGAGACTGATGGAAGCCCAGACTCTGGCCCTTGGCCACCCTTTAGATTTGGCATTGAACACATCCCTGTGACTCAATTTTCAGCCAAGCCACCGATAGCACATAGAAGGGACAACACTACAGAGGTATGCACACCGTAGAATGGTCAAACATTACAGAGCAAACGGACAGCATTTACTTAAAGACAAAATTCAGAAAGGTTGGGAAAGAAAGAGGAATAGAAACAAGAAACACAGAGAGAAAGTGGGATAATGATGTTACATTGAAGGGATTGCAATCACAGATATGAAACAAGGCTTATCAATGGTTAAATGTAAAACTAATGATTTGCTCTGTAAACTTTCACTCAATTCACAATAGAAAGTTAAAAAAAAAAAAAAAAGGACTTTCAGAGCAAGATGGCAGTGTAAGTAGATTCACTAAGCAGACTCTCTGTAACAAAGACATGGGAAACCAAGTAAAACAGATACAGATGGTGTTCCTGGAACCCTGAGCTTCAGAGGATAGGGCAGAGAGATAGACTAAGTGCCAACAGAAAGAAGACGTTGAAGAGAAGTAGTGAGAAAGAAGAAAATAACAGGCTATCTGCTGACATGGAGAGGTGCAGCCATCTTGAGCTTTTGGGAATGGTTGTCAATACAGTGGCCTACAGGCCTCTCTTGTTATGTGACCTCCTGGTAGCCTGGGGCATGTCCAGTCCCTGCCCTAACCAATCAAGTGGCACCCCCTCCTACACAGCCTATCTGGAGTCAGGCATTGAGAGTGCCACCCCAGCTTCTGAAGGCACATGAACTTGCTCTGAACTATGCTATACAAATAGTGAACAGAGAACTGTGTTCACACTTCTAGTCTCTATCACATCCACCAGGAGACTCTTGGTGAGTACCTAAGAACACACCAATATACAATAATCAATTTAATATAAATACAATGACAATGACTCAGCAAAAACAGACAATTTTTGCTTACATAAACAAACAAGACAGAGGGCCTCAAACAAGTGCCAAATTACAGAGTCAGAAAATACAACCCCAGGATTGGTATCAGAACTACTTGATAAGGAATTTTAAAGACTGCTATGTAGGTACCTTCAACTGATTGAGAGAAAGACTGAGGAAAGCAGAAGACAAAAAAAAAACTTTAGAAGAATCCATGAAAACACTGTAAGAACAAACTGACAAAATAAATGAAAATTTGGAAAACATACAAGAACAGCAATTAGAAAGCCAGGAGATTAATAATAAGACTCCAGAAATAGATGGTACATTGAAAGGGCAAAGCAGTAGAATTCAATCAATGAAAGGCCAAACTACTGAGCTTGTGGCCAAATCTCTCAATATTTATCTTCTTGAGCAACAATCAGAAAAAAGAATTAAAAAAAGAAAAAAATGTAAGATTTATGTGGGACACTATCAAGAGAAAAAGGAGCTCTGGTAGTGTAGTGGTTACGAATTGGGCTGCGGACCTTAAGGTCAGCAGTTCAAAACTACCAGCCGCTCCGCGGGAGAAAGATGAAGCTTTCTACTCCCGTAAAGATTTACAACCTTGGAAACCCTGTACAGGGTCGCTATGGGTCGGAACCGACTCGACGGCACTTAACAACCACAACAACAACAACAACAACAATCAAGAGAAATAACATGTAATTGGAATTCCAGAATTGGAACAGACACATACACACACAAAAAAGAGGAAATTGTCCAAGAGTTGTTAGAAGAAAGTATCCTTAGCATCATGAAAGATGAGAAGAAAGCTATTTAAGAACTTAAACAAATTCCAAACAGAATAGATTCCAAAGAAAATCACCAAGACATATCATAATCAACGTTTCCAAAAGGCAAGAATCCTGAGAACAGCTCGGGAAAAACAAAAAGTTATCTACAAATGAGAATGAATAAGACTAAGTACTGATTTCTCAGCAGAAACCAGGCAGGCAAGAAGACAATGGATGACATATATAAAACTCTTAAAGAAAACTGCCATCCAAGAATCATATAGCCAGCAAATTGTCCATCAAATATAACAATGATATTAAGACATTTACAAATAAGCAAAAATTAAAAGAATTCTCAAAAACCTGACCTTACAAAAAACACCAAAGGAATATGTCCAGCAAGTGGTGGAAATCCTTCTTAGGACCAAGACCTATAATGTCACATCTCTCCCATACCCACCTCTGAGATTCTTGGCTTGCAAGAGGTCCCCAGATTGTCTCCTCTCCAGATTCAACAGCTGTACTGTTTTTTTTCTCTTCCTGTTTTGGCATTCTTTTTCTCCTTCTATTGTTTCATTGTTTTTGTGTGTGTGTTTTTTTCTTTCTTCTCCTACTTATTTTCTTCCATTTCTCTGAATTTTATCCTTTCTATCTTTGCTTTTGTTTTTCCTTCATTTCCTCTGTTTTTCACTTCACCTCTCCTTTTTATTTTCCCTTTTGACCTTTCCTTACTACTCTGTATGATGGCTGAGAAAAAAATGAAAAATTACCTACAAAGGAGAACCAGTGAGAAGACTAAGCTCTGATTTCTGAGCAAAAATCATACAGGCAAGAGGCAATAGGATGACACATACAAACTCTGAAAGAAAAAAAAAAAAATTGCCAACCAAGAATCATATCTCCAGCAAAGCAGTCCCTCAAATACAAAGGCAAAATTAGGACATGTCTAGATAAACAGAAATTAAAGCAATTTGTAATAACAAGATGAACTTTACAAAAACCACTAAAGGATATTTTTTGGACCAACAACAGCAGGAAACAACCTGAGATTAACATACATAACATCACCCAGATTTTAATCCAAATATTGTTGTTGTTGTTAAGTACCGTGGAGTCGGTTCCGACTCATAGTGACCCTACACAGGGTTTCCAAGGCTGTAAATCTTTATGGGAGCAGACCGCCTCATCTTTCTCCCGCAGAACAGCTGGTAGTTTCGAACTGCCGACCAAATATAGAGGTATTTAAAGTAAAACTAATCTACACGACTGAATATAAACCAGAGATCTCAATTTATAATGAAGTCAACTACAGAACAAAAAGAGGGAATCGTGTAGATACAGAACTTCCAAATGGCAAGGAAGTCAAGTAGATTTCAAGATAAAATAGAGTGTTTTAAATGGGGAAAACAATTAATAAATTACAGGGTAACCTCAATGAAAATGAATATGCCTTCACATCAAAATAAAAGAGGACTATCAAAAATATTTAGTAGACATTAACATAACAGAAATGAAGAAAATCCACAACAAAATTAACTCAGCACAGAAAATTATGTGGAACAAAGAATTCAGTAGCATAAAAAAAAACCAAACACACACAGCAAAAATGACAACAATCAATTCATACCTGTCAGTAATTATACTGAATGTAAATGGATAAAATGCACCAGAGAAGACAGAGAATAGAAAAGTATATGATTTGCAGAATGTAAAACTGATGATTTGCTCTGTAAACCTTCACTCAATTCACAATAAAAAGTTAAAAAAACCTACAAAAACCCAAAAACTAAATGCAGTTCTTTGGACATAGAACTAACAAAAGCAGATAACAATCTGTGACTATACATGACAATATCACTCAGTAAAACAAACCTACAAGTGTGAAAAAAGGAAAACAGAGATACCCATTTGCAACAAAAACATAAAGTCAAAAGAGAGTATGAAGAGGAAATCAAGTATATTTCAAGAAAAATTAGTAAATAAAAATAAACCTAACTATAACTCTAAAACTATACCAAGTCTCACTCCTAACCCAACCCCTAACACTAGACCTAACCATAACCATAACACTAAATGAAATCCAAGAGCAAGCCTAAACCTAGCCATTCTCCTAATCCTAATTCCTTTATCCTACATGACCCCCTTAAAAAAGGTTAAAAATGAACTTCGTTGGTAATTTCATAAAGATTAATGTTCAAAGATTACAATTATATTGAGTAACATTATAAATAGGTTCACGTAGCTTACCGCTGGTGCCTTGTCAGTCATCAACTCATGCCATCTTTTGTAGGGTGGTAAATCAAGATTTATGGTGTACCAAGGAACTGGGCCCCTATAGCTGTAATGAGAGATATACAATCTTGAAATGTTGGAAAGTAGCCTTCTCCCCACAAGATTGGGAGATAATTTTATCTAGATGGATATCTTAGAGACATATTCTAATAACAAAATAGGTGTTGTTTACTCAAACAAAAATTTTTCATAGAGTGCTTCTGCCCTAGGTTCATATTCAACCATAAGTAGTTTCAGAAACCTTGTAATAGAATATACATTCTGAAAAATTCACGTGGCTTGGTGATATGTAAAAGAATCAATTATAGCTCAAGAGCTACAGCCTGATTATCACTGCTAGAAAACATCTGCCTTTTTAATTTTTTCCTCCTCCTAAATATTTGCAACAGAATAATGACTGGTAAGGTGCCAAAAGATGGAACATTGTAGGTTGGAAGGCAGTGGAAACACAGTGGCCACATCGAACTCGAGTATACTAACAATGTTTTGTTCTGCTGTACATGATACCATGAGTAGGTGAAAACTAAATGGCAACTAATCTCTGCAAAGATTTAGTCTGGCCCTGGAAACTCCTCCAATTAGTCTCCAAGTCTCAGAGTTTCTTCTCAGACCATCTAATAGCACTGCCAAATCATTTCTAGTGCTGGCATCAGGAAGTATTTTAAAGTCCCAGAGTGGCTTATGATTACCTTTAAGAACGTTAAAAATTCACACAGCCATCCTCATCTTCCCTACTATATTTTCTCTCTTCTCATACTTCTGGATTAAGTTCAAACTCCAGCACTATGTATTGTTATACTCATCCCCCAATGTCCCTCCTCTTAAACGGACATAGAGCAGTTTCTAATTAAGAGAATATAGAAATGTCCACCTCATCATAAAGAAAATAAAAATCCTCAAAACGGACCAATGTGTAATATAATAGTAAGTGAAGAAAATACTGAAGTTGCCAAGGATTTCATTTTAGTTGGATCCATAATCAACTCCCATGGAAGATGCAGTCAATAAATTACATGACATATTGCCTTAGGCAAATAAGCTACAAAAGACCTTTCTAAAGTCCTGGTGTGGTGCTGGGGGATAATGCACTGAACTACATGGTCAGTTTGAACCTTAAGGTCAGTGGTTCAAATTCACTAGTTCTCCTTGGAAACCCTATACAGGGTCGCTATGAGTAGGAACCTACTCAATAGCACTTATCAACAACAAACTATTATAGAGCAAAAATAACAGTGTGAGAACTAAAGTGTGCTTGACCCAAGTCATGGTATTTTCAACGACCTCATAAGCATGTGAAAGTTGGACCATAGAAGAATTGGTGCATTTGAATTACGGTTGGCAAAAAATATTGAAAGTATCATGGACTCCCAGAAGAACAAACAAATCTGTTCTGGAAGAAGTATAGCCAGAATGGTCCTTGAAAGAGAGAATAATGAAACTCTGTTCATACACTTTGGACATGTTAATCAAGAGGGACCAGTCCCCAGAGAAGGACATCATGTCTAATAATGCAGAGGCTCAATGAGAAAGAGGAAGACTCAGGAGATGAACGGACACAGTGGCTACAATGGGCTTAAACAGCAACGATGATGAGGATGTTTGTTGTTCTGTTGTAGATGGTGTTGCTATGAGTCAGAACTGGCTTGATGGCACTTAATAACAACTCCCTTATTAATAAAGTAGGGCCATATTCCTGGTAGATGAATTCCACAACTATTCTCTGCAGCTATAGCAACATTACCTGCTGGCATGTGTTACTAAACAGAAATACCCCTTAAAGATGTGCCAATCACTCAGTGATTTATCAGCTTAAAGCTATGCCTAAAATGAGTTGACATTTGTGCCATTATTGCTCTGGCCCAGAGAAGCATAAACTGCACTCTGTTGTTGTTGTTGGTAAGTGCCCTGGAGTTGGTTCCAATTCATAGTGACCATGTATAGGATTTCCAGGAGCAGCTGGTGGGTTTGAACCACTGACCCATAGTGAGCAGAACAATGCTTATCCTACAGTGCCAAAAAACATTTCCAGACTCTTAAATTAAAATGTTAAACAAATTTATGCCTCTAACATAGATGGGTTGTTTCTGAGAAGTCTTGAATAATGATTCTATTTATATATGTTTTACCATGAATAATTATTTGGTTCTCTAAATATGATTACTGATTATTTAGGTGATAGGAAAGGTAACATACAATAAAGAATCATCAACACAATATCATAAAAAGGAAAACAGGGAGAGGTACACAATAATTATAGGCAAAAAAGATAAATATTAATACATATACAATCCTGTTAGTATCAGAAACAGCAAACAATAATCTAAAAGTAGATACACAGACAAACAGGCAAGACGATCAGTTATGAGTAGACAAAAGGGAATATACTCATACACATATACAGGTTTGGAAGATAACATTTATAATTGCTATAAATATATCTATATTTATAATAGAGCAAACAGGGGATAGAAGCATGTAAATTCTTAGTCATAACCAAACATCAAGAGGGATTGAGTCACTGGGCCTGGAGGCTTGTGACCACAGTTGTTGCGGACATCAAAGTCATTGGCATAACACAGTTTACAAAAACATGCGCTACCTTCTACTTTCCAGAGTAGTGCCTGGGATTTTAAAAGCTTACAAGCAGCCAGCTAAGATGTTATCATTAGACTTTCCCTGTCTGTAACAATGAAGAGTGAAGAAAATTAAAGACACATGGAAACAATTAGTCCAAAGGGCTCATGGACCACTGAACCTCAGTCTTCACCACCCTGACCCCAGGAGAACTAGATGGTTACCACTGTTGACCACTCTGAAAAGGAATCATAATCAAGGGTCATGAAGAGAGTGGGAGCAAACTAAGGCACAAAACTCAAGATAGTAGAAAAGCCCAGGCTTACTGGTCTGATAGAGACTGACGGAACCCTTGAGCCCATGCATGGTACTTGGTCCCTCTTCAGGCCTGGAATAGAACTCTCCCCATGGCTCATCTTTCAGCCAAATAATAGACAAGCCTAAAGGGTGTACAATAACAGCCGGGAGGCACACACCATAAACCAACAATACAAAATCAAAAGGGCAGCATTTGCTCTGGTATGAACCTCAGCAGGAAGGAATGGATAGGGAAGAAGGGCAATTGAAAACAGTGAACACAAGAAGGAAGTGGGAAGAGTGCTATTACTTTGTGGGTACTACAAACAATGTCATGAAGCAAAATGGGTATGAATAATCAAATGGAAAATCAACTGGCTCTGGAAACCTTCACTCAAACAACAATCAAAGGTTAAAATAAATAAATAAATAAATGATAGTACTGAGCTTAATTTCATAAAATAAGCCTTTATGAAACTGTTACATAGTCATGCCATTCATATTGTGATTGAGGTTGTGCTGTTGTTAAGTACTGTGCAGTCAGTTCCGACTCATAGTGACCCTACACGGGGTTTATGAGGCTGCAAATCTTTACGGGAGCAGAAAGCCTCATCTATCTCCCGCAGAACAGCTGGTAGCTTCGAATTGCCGACCTTGAGGTTAGTAGCCTGATTCGTAACCACTACTCTACCAGAGCTTGGAAAACACTCAAAAATTGGAAACATAAATTTAAATAAAAACTCAATGGATGAATTTTTGTTCTTAAAACACTTTTAAGTTCCCATTTCTTTATCAATCAAGTTACATTAAAAACTATAATGTTTAAATCCTCAAATAAAGCTTTATATCAAAATAAATCAATTCAATTCTGTTTCTGACTGACCATAATTTCACACATAAAATTTCTGTATTCCCTCTTATGAACAGATGCTCTTCAGCATCTGGATTTCCCTGCTAGCAATGAAGGCTAAATAAGCAGCCACTGACACTATGCATGACAGTGGAACTATCATAAAGTATTTGTTCTCCTGTGAACTCCAATCAGCTATTCCTCCCCTCATAATACCTAAAAAAACTCAAACAATGTCCCTATATTGCCCCTAAAGTACTGATTCTTTGGTAGGCGCAAAGATTCCAAAAAGGAAACAAACTAATTAAAGAAAGGGATTTCAATTAAGTGAGGATGAGAGACCCCAGAAACCTCTCTACAATAGAACCTCCATTAATCAAAATTCTTTGAGAATTTGATTAAGTTAAACATGGTTAAGTTAACCATAATCCCACATTTTACTTCTCACTAAACAAAGTTTCTTATCTTATTATTGAACATCTGCACTTCAATTTTGTTATGAGGTGTCTTCAGAAGTTTTGTGGAAAAATTCCATTATCTTTTAAGTCCACTGTCCACATACTTTTAAATGTTTATTTAAACATTTATATTTACCTATGAGAATAGTGAAGAGTGCATGAAATATATAAGATATACTTAGACAATCAATAGTAATTATCATAGTATATTTTCCTAGAAATAATAAACAGAAATGGATTCTGTCGGAGATTTTGCATTTGCTGTAACTAGGTAATCATAATCAATAGTAAGCATGGACAGAAACTACATGACTGTCAGGGTGGCTTCAAAATTAGTCCAAGTGACACAATACATACATATACAATTAAGACAGCAGGTTCTAAGCATCTGGTGAGCAGCTGAAATGAAATGCTAGTAGGGTTCGAATGCTGTCAGTCCCTTGATCTCCAGCATTGATTTGACTGGTCAGGGCTGTTCCTCCCTTACAGTTCCCGATACATTTCTACAGAAGCTATGCATCTGATTGAAAAGGATGACCTCCCAGGTACGGGAGAATTGTTTTTTATTCAAAGGTATGAGTACCAAATTCTCTCCCAGATCCCAAGATTCATTTTTTTGTTTAGAAGATGGAAGTAGATAATAGGATTCCTATGCAGGAAAGAAGGTAAGCAAATAAATCCAGAAGAAAAACCAAGGCAGAGATAGATTAATATAAGCCCTGGTGGTGTTATGGGATAAGCACTGGGGTGCTAACCACCAGGTCAGTGGGATCAAACCCACCAGCTGTTCCATAGAA